CACGCACGCCCGCGCAGACACGCACACACACGCATGCAAACATACATACAGATAGCGAGAGAAAGAGAGAGAGAGAGAGAGAGAGAGAGAGAGAGAGAGATTGATATCGAAATGGAGAGAAGGGTGATAGAAAAAAGGAAGGAGTGGGGGCGTGTTAGAGTAGCGAGTAAAGAGCAGAAGGGAAGCGCGTGGACGAGAGAGAGAGAGAGTGTGACAGTGAGATGGGTGGATAGATAGATGGACAGAGAGGGGGAGAAGAAACATAGATTAGGCATGTGGTATAACGTGGTATTTCATGAATTTGAAGTTTTCGCAGCGTCGTGCCATTGCAGTGCCAGAGCATGACATTTCGGCCCTACACACCGACCCACTGCTTGTCAAATAATAACCCACACCAAAATTTCAGAGAAGCAGAAGAAACTCAGCATGCTGAGTGATCGTGACGACCAGATCGCCTGGAATAGAGTGATCGGCTAGAACTGGCCGCGTACAAACACACGCATTTGTCACCTGCTAATTATTTGGGTGGGATAGTTCGTACGCGCCGCCGCTACGCACGTACGGCACCTACAAATTGCCCCAATTACCTGGCGCCGATGTTGGTGCCGGGCGTTGGTTTCCTGTGGCTAACACACATACACACGGCACACGTACATACATACATACATACAGTCTCTCGCTCACCACACACTATACGTAACGGCCGCGCTATACACTGCTGCGTCAATTTGCCTCATTATTAACCGTCATCAGGGGAATCGCTTTATCAAACCAGCGGCCGAGATGTAATTTGCATTTCACAACAAAGACACTTTTAATTATGCGTTCTCGCGGCCGTTTCTCTCCCCCAGCCTCGCGCGCGCGGGATCTCCGTGTGTGTGCACGGGCAGAGGCGGATGTTGTTGCTTTGTTCTCGCATCGTTTTAGCAGACGTGGAGAGAGAGCGCGAGAGCGAAGCAGCGTCCGTCGCTACGATGGAGCCGACGTCGCGTCTATTAAGCACACGCGAGATGACGACGACGGCTGGCGTCGTGCGCCGTGCGTCGCTGCGCAGCCTGTAAGTACTGTTTACATATCTATATACACCTGCCACTTCTCGTTCCGCCGCCCCTCCCCCTCTCTGTTCTCACACACAGTGGTATCTATGATCTTTACGACGTGTTCCTCAGATTCCCCTCCGCCTCGCTCAGCATCCTCATCAAAGTATCTATTAAACTATCATGTCATGTATTTATACGCGCATATATATATAAATATTATATATATATCATATGTGTGTGGTGTATGTTCGTATCGCTGTGCTTGTGTGTAGGCTTGCTTCCTGGGGGTGTGTGTGGCTGTGTGTGCATTGGTGTGTGCGCGCGCGCGCTGTGTGTCGCTCGGCGCTGCGTCAGAATCCTCGACCGACGGAGGGGGGGGCGGTGGGGGGGGGGGGGGGGCGGTGCGGGGCAGGGGCGGGGCGGTCGGGTGTTGTAGTGCGTGTGTGTGTGCGCGCTGTGCATTCTTGTGTGTGTGTGTGTGTTGTGTGGGTGGGAGGGGGGGGGGGTGGGCCTCCAGGGGGTGGGTGTGTGTGTGTGGCGTGGTGGTGGTGTGTACGTGTTGGTGCGCGGGGGCGGGGGCGGGGCGTGTGGGGTTGGTGGGGTGGGGGGGCGGCGGGGGTGTGCTCGGCTGCGTGCGATGTGTGTGTGTGTGTGTGTGTGTGTGTGTGTTGCGCGCGTGTATCGTTGATGCGTGCTCGTGTGTGCGTCGGCGTTGGCTTGCTGTTGCTCGTGTCTGCGTGTGTGTGTGTGTGTGTGTCGTGTGCTGTGTGTGTGTGGTTGTGTTGTGGTGTGCTGTGTACTTCTGTGTGCGGTTGGGTGTGTGTTGTGTTGTGTGTTGTTGTGTGTGTGTGTGTGTGTGTGTGGTGTGTGTGATTATTTGTACATCACCGACAACTGGACATCTTTTCGAGTTTTAAACTCACAAACCGGGTGCACTTGACAACGTGACTTCCCCCATCTGCTAAAGATAAGACGTTCTTTGGATAGCTTGTCATGTGCGCTGTTTCGCTTACAAAAATATTGTACTGTCCCACTCGTCCAATTTTTACGCTTTTCGTGTGCTTTTTCCCCACTGTGTGTTTGCGTTTCCATCCATGCACCATTTTGACGCGAGTGGGAGATGTCCTCCACTCGATATAGGATGACGCTCACGCGCTTATGTCGTGTTCACACATCAAGTAAAACATGCGTTGCGCGGATCGCCGAAGGCAGCAGAAGTTTTTACCTAGCAATCGTAAGGTTACCATGTATAATATCCTGTACGCATAGTTAGCCGACAGAAAAGCTAATTGCAATAATTATAACCAAATATATTGCTAAACTCATTTTAATCAACACTCGTGCTACAATTAAAGGTATGCTTCTTGGCCGCTACAAATCGTACCATGTGGACGTCATTGTCTAGCTCGGCCTGATTACTGACCCCGCCTTGCCTCTTGTAGCATGCCCTGCTTGCGTATGCTGCCGTGCGCGGCGTGCGCTGCGTGCGTGGCAGTGCGTGCGTGGATGTGTGGTCGTATGATAATAATATATGCTAGCAATAACTATATATAACCTATATACATATCGGCGTCTGGTGATCTATGTGTTGTGTGCGCGCCGCGCAGTATGTGTTGTCGGTACACCATGTGGTGCGCTGGTGGTAGTGTTTGCGTCATATATTGATAGTCAAGAGTACATAATAAGACGCATTCTCTTATTATGTACTCTTGATATGTATGTATGTGTGATGGTTACATATGTGCCTGCTAGCGTGAGTGAGGTCTGCGTGTCTGTACTGTGATCAGAATGAAACATCGCCGCAATGATTGCCTCTTGTTTTTTCTCGCCTCTCTCAGACGTCTCGTCTGCGCGCTGTACTGCGCGCACATAGTAACTAACCCAATTAGCTGACACGCTGGGCTGCATTAGCCATCGTAGAGGTGTTACAGTTACCCTGCAGACGAGAAGGACATTTGTGTGTTCTCATTTCTTTTTGATAAGTCGATATTGTTAATAGTAGTAACCAATCACAACGTCTGGATGCGGGATGACTGCATGCGCACGTTCGCCGTATTATTCGAATTAAAATCTGCGTGAGAAATTTTCTTCATGCTGGAAAAATTCATTCGGGAGTTCTTTAGCCCTGCTTTAGTAGCAAGCTAGTCTATGACCACGTACGCCTCGGCGAATCCGCCCAATTTGCGATCAACCGCTTTCACTGTGTCGGGCCTTCCGCGCTGGTTTAGATGTTTATATCATAAGCAGGAGGATGGTTATAATCGATTTATGTCACTGCCACTCTGTTGCTTGCTACGATCAATCCCATGTGACTCATCCGTAAAAACCTGTTCCCTGCGATGTCGACCTCCTTTGCGTTTGCTCTTCCGGTAACGAAGTTATTGTGCCGAATCACGGTTATTGATTTGCCTCTATTTTAATCGATCTAAGTGCTCGCGACATCGGCGCCTGTGGCTATTTTCGTGTCTTACCTGCAGGCCGAGTGACTGCAGTCAGATTCTTCCCAAGGTGTTATATTACGGCAGTTGATTTTACTGACGGTACCCGAAGCGTATAGAGGAGTAGCTGGCGGGGTGAGGAGAATCGTACGGCATGCTGCTTAAGTCATCAGATGAATTGATCGTGATGGTGATATATGCGTGGATCCATAGCTGGGACGTGGCTCGTCCTCCTGAGATTTTACGTGTCGATTCAACACCGCCAGCTCGTATAGGGAGTTTTTTGACGAAGTGGCAAAATGTCTAAAATTGAAACATGTTCTCTACTGTAAATTTTGTGAGTAACTACTTAAAACATGCGACCGAACGAATGTGACGCGGAAACATACCTAAACCAAACCAAACCTAACCCAACCCAAACCACCGTCACAAACTACTGGTATGGTGGTTCCTTCCACTGTTCGACAGTAACGAAATAAAATTTGGAGAATATATAACTTTGACTTCTCCCTCTCTCGTGCCCCGCTCCCTTTCTTCTATATATTATATAATCCTGACTATATATACTATATGTGTATACATACATACTTTTATTAGTCTCATATCTTATATATATTATCACTGAAGCCATTCCCAGCAGCCGCTGTACTTACTCCAACTGTCTCTCCGTCCTTGATTCCGTAGCCACTGCAAACCCACTGCTACTGTTTCCACCCGTACCCCAACTAGTGCCACCGAGTTATATCTTATAACGGCTTCACTAGCGTTTTCCTAATTAAGAAAACGCTATAGCGATGGCGTCAAGCACGACTGCCTGCGCTACCTACGTCGGCCGCAACGCGTGACATGATTCACGGTTCTGCACGAATCTCTGCTACTGGATTTTTTATACACTTGACCCGCGCGTGATCGGCTAGAGCTTGAGGGTATCATTATAGGGATCACGCTGGGAGTTAAGAGGGAACGTAGCGTGCGTATATGCGTGGCCGGATTAAGCTTGTCAGAGGCCCGAGGCTGTTAATGAGCATGTTCAAATGTAATGTTTTTTCAGCATTGTTAATGTTTTTTACTGAGAAACTAGCCACGTATTGACTAGCCAACTAGGCACAAATTTACACGTATGTCAGTTTAATTTTTTTTTAATTTTAAATTAATTTGTTGTCACAATTTTGCGTTGTCGCATAATTGGTTTTCTGTACATATATTTAAGCATATCATTCTTTACATAGCCATATATTGCATGTGGTCCTGGCGTAAAATTGAGGGCCTAACGTCACGAGGGTTTTGTCATTATACTAAAGAGTATTCCAACTCTGCGTGTATGGATTGGTGGTTTTCCCTATTGCAATGCAATAACTTTAACCACGTGACGTATATGTATAATTGAAGATTATGTGCTTATTTTTATTATTGTTAATTACAAAACACATCCGAAGTGTTTCATTCCCTGGATCATCGCTAGAAATTGCTCATCGTTTTCTTTGATAAGGCAGGTAATATTTGATAAATTAAAACTTCCACGTAATGCAATTTGCATAAAAGTTAGGATAAAATCATTGTTGCCGCAACGATGAAAGGATTGTAGTCAAATTAGAGAAAAATAAAATGATTAGCCATATTCGCCTCTCTGCGCTCACAGGAGAGTAGTAAATGAAGGCGACTAATTGACAGACATCTGTAGGTAGGTGCTATGTAGCCGTGATAGTTATTCAGCTTCGTAATTTTTCTAAAAAAATCATCGCAATGATGCTCTTGTGTTTTTCTCGCCTTCTCATGACGCTCTCGTCTGCGGCTCGACTGCGCGCATAGTAAACTAACCAATTAGTGACACGCTGGGCTGGCTATTAGCGTAGGAGTGCGTTACAGTTACCCTGCAAGGACGAGGAAGGACATTGTGTGTTCTATTTCTTTTTGATAAGTGATAGGTGTACATAGTATTAACCAATCACAAACGTTGGGGATGGCGATGACTAGCATTGCGCACGTTCGCGTATTAGTC